ACAGGGTGTTGAGAATATTTGGACCGAAGAGAGATGAAGTGACAGGAGGTTTGAGAAAACTGCATAATGAGGAGCTTCATAATTTGTACTCTTATCCAAGTATAATTAGAATGCTCAAGTCAAGGAGGATGAGGTGAGCAGGTCATGTAGCACGAATGGGGGGGACGAGGAATGCGTAAAGGATATTGGTAGGAAAGCCAGAAGGAAAGAGACCACAGGGAAGACCAAAGCGTAGGTGGGTAGACAATATTAGAATGAATCTTAGAGAGATAGGACGGGATGGAATGGATTGGAAAGATCTGGCTCAGGATAGGGACTAGTGGAGGACCCTTGTGAACACGGTAATGAACCTTCGGGTTCCATAAAATGCTGGGAAATTCCTGAGTAGCTGCAGAATTGGCGGCTCCTCCAGAAGGGCTCAGCTCCATGAGTAAGTAAGTAAGTAAGTAAGTTGCATTAAAGGAATCGTGATCAGCTCATTTAAGGACTGCTTACTCTCAATCTGCAGTCAGAATCCCATCTATTTCTTGTAGTAACGGCAATGTCTACGGAAAACCAGTTTATATACCAGACATTCGCTGTGGCTTGTGTCATGACATTTAATTTTTAACTCTTAAAGTTATTTATTAACTAGCATGATGACCGCTGGAATTTCAATGTTAAAAACATTCTTCTCCAAAAAAGGCCTAACCTCAGTAACGTGAAGATTTTTTGAAATACATGTACATTTATGCTTAGATGCTAACTCGATACTGTCACGTGTATTAGTGACGTGGGTTTGGATCGCTAAGTCCGTTTATTTGATATTCACTGGTTGTAGCTACAAACAATTATAACACTTTCAAAATTTCTGTAATTATAACACATAAATAAATTCTATACCTGCTTACACTAGTCGATGCTGAAAAAGATCTGAAAAGAGCTATTCCTCTGCAAAGTTTTCCCTATCCGTTTCCTGGCAAAGGATTTTAAAACAGGAATTATAGTTGTCACACTCCACATATCACTGCACTACAGGAAACACAAAGTCTTCAAATTACACGTCAAGTCTTCACAGGTCGACTTCTAATTCTTCTGCACTTCGAAATTCCAGTGGCTATCTCCTACCGAAAACTGAGCTCTCAATTGTCAATCCTCAACTGAATTTATAAATTCAAAGTCATATTTTGACTGACGGTCGGTCGGTCGGTCGGTCAGTCAGTCAGTCAGTCAGTCAGTCAGTCAGCAAGTCAGCAAGTCAGTTAGTCAATCAGGCAGTCACTCAGTCAGTCAGTCAGTCTTGGTGTTGAGCCCAATCAGGGGCTCATGACCAGATATTTGTTACTGTTTGACTGTTACGATCTTGTTTTTGTAGGACGCACTCTCTCACGAGAGGACGGGACTGTCTTTGGTATATGCTGCTGGCGCTTGCCAGCGCAGTCTTTCTCGGGTCCGAATCCCTTGGTACTTGCGACCACATCTTACTGTCTCAGATATAAGACTTTCCTTTTCATCGCCTCCTTCAACTCGCAGGGTCACGGTGGAGGTATTCGACTCTGCCTCCACACGGGCGCTGAACGTGTAGCGCCCATTGTCTCAAAATAGCTCCTCTGCACGGATCCCATGGAAAACACCGTAATCTATTGTCAAGGATGCGTGTTTATAGCTTCGTTGCCTAGCAATAGTCGTCTTGTTGTTCTGTGCGTTTGCTTGGCGCAGACCACATAGAAAACACAGTTTCCCCTATATTTTTTCCTGTTGAGAAACGTTTACTGAACCGTTCCCTGCCAATACTTTAATCAAATCTGTTACAATATAAAGATATTATGTTGCTGTTATGTAAAAAAATTATTTTCGGGCAAAGCTTGCTTTTAAAAACAAACTATGAAAAATACCTAATGTCTCTCCTCCTTCAAATGATAACAGATTAACAAAATAACCATTATATAATTTATTTTATTCACAGCTTCACTAGCTAAAACGATCAGTGCTCGAGTGATTTGACCCTCAGATACAAAGTAAATAATGACAAACATTTAAATTTCCACTAAAGCTATTATTTCTATATTATCAACATGCAATCCGTTTTTTCATCCACAATTTCTTATCTCTCCTTGAAACGCAGCCTCGCATTATTATGCATGATGCCAAATGCATCATAATTGCAAAACCTTCCCCAGTAGTTACATATTAACCGTACAGCCCACAGTCTTAATGCACTGTTCTGAACTTCCTCCTCCAATAGTATCTTACATTGCGTTTTCACTGAATACGCGCACTATCAACAACGGAAATTTGGGTTCAACAATTCTTTGCCACCTGGGGTTCAACCCCATAATCCTTCACGCGGCCGCACATTATTCTGAATAGTCTCACTTGCAAGAACCTCAGAAATAAGGAATTCCCACCTCTCGCTACAGTTTCCAAAAATGATTCCTCCAGAGATTCCCTCTCATAGGCATTAAATCATGATTTCATTGAGTACTCGTATATACGCTATTTCTTCGACAGAGGTCGAGACTGCAGCGTCTCCTAGAGGCCAATTCCATAACTACTTCCAAAGACCACTGTTCTAAATATCCTTTTGCCACTCAAGCTATCTTTATGCTTTTGTATGCATTATAATAATAGATGTATACGACAGTACAGTCGGAAGTTACGCGGTTGCCACAGTGCTGTCAGACTCAATCGGTCAGGAGCACACAGAATTTCTTTGTCTGGCTCCAGTGCGGCTGAGTCCCTTAACCGGGCCCGCAGTCTTTCTATCGAATCCTGACTGGTTTCTTGACCACAATGTGACACAAAGGTGAGACCCCGCCTCTGAGAGGAAGAGGGACCTTGTAACCGCTCACTTCTTTGGGCCCTTTACGTTGGTCGCCACGCTGTTGCCGTCCTCCCTTTTCTCCTACGTTTGTGCTCCACTTATCACCGTCCTCCCTCTTCTCGTGGATGTCGAGAAGTTAGGTGGGAAGGGAGGAGAATTGTGACCGTTGGAGCTGGTACGCGAGAGCAGGTAAAGAAGGGAGTATCTGGGTTCTGTTCGGTAATTTGTAGAGCTGAGTTCATATCCCGGGTCTTATACGGGTCTGGCTCGGGCAGGGCAGGAAGAACCTTTCTCTACAATCACACACACCTCTTTAGACCGTTGCACTTAGTAATCATATAATTCCCTCCGGCTCACTGAATACAACTGAATTTATTAGTACACTTAATTTGAACTTTACTTATAGTACTTTTACAGAAGGGCCGTAGTTGTAAATTTTGTGTCCGACTTTGCCGAAAGTTGTATGAAGACTCCTCGAGGTGGAATGCCCACTCTCTGAATCCTGAGGTCCACGAACCCAAGACTCCAAGAGAAATCCACTCCTCCACTTCTGCCATTGGTTAAGTTTTCAAACTAGGAGGTTCCCTAAATTTTGAATTCCCAATCATGTTGCTTTGCTATGTGATTCTGGCAGATGCTGACCTGACGCTAAGGTTGACAGCCGCTTGATGCATTACGATCAGGGTATGAGGCTCCGGCCGTCCCACTTCTAAGTTATAGCTGTCCCAAGCTGCCAGCTCTCAAATTCTCAAAGACTTTCCGACTTTGCTGAAACTGCCAGAATTCCAGGAAAGTACCAGATGTTACTTCCTGTCCACATAGCAAAATTTGAATTATGTCCCTTCTGCGTGTAAGAGCTGGCTATCTGCCGGATCTCTTTGTTTGTAATTTTGTAATCTTAACTTAATACAGATTTAATTAACACACAACAGTCCTCTAATAAGAATGAACGGTTACAACCTGACCTGTAGAATGGTACGTACTAAATGCACTGCACTGTCAATGACGTCAGGGCCTTGTTTCAAAGCGAGTCCACAGTCCTCTGTTTCCGATGATCGTCATGATTGGTTGCTCTATGGTTATGCGTTTAACAATATCGTTTGCAGTGTATTTTTCGAGAGATGGCTCCTTTTGTATGGTGTTTGGGTATAATTTCCTGGAGTTTCTTTCTAGTGACTCTGGCACCCTGCCTGTTGTAACGGGAAATTCTCTCCCTTACTGATCATCATGACGTTAGTATATATGGCGCAGCCTTGAAGCCCATGGCTGATTTAAAACAAAGCGCAAAAGCCAGCGTCTTGTCTCATGTGGATCCACTGCAAGCGGCTATCAAGATGTCTCGAGTTCCTGGATGGATGTCGCCAACAGTATCGTCCGGAGAGCGAGAAGTATGTCCACGTTCCGAACTGCTGCATTGGGAAGTGTATGATATGAGCAACTATAGAGCATGTAGATGCGTGAAGGACACCGAAGTATCCTCCAGTCAGTGTTTTGTTTATACAAGTGAATTTGCACAGCGCAGTTCAGGCTCCCGCTAATATCGGCCGACAGATAACACGTCATCAGAACCAGCGCCTGAAAACTGCACTGCCAGCACCACCTGTAACCACACGTGCCCCTGAAGCTGGAAAAATCCAAGGACGACCAAAGTTCCCTTAATATGAGAGCAGTTTATGGACTCATCAAGAGAAGTGAGGTCTGAAGCATTCCAACCAAACACGCATCGTGCAGCACTTTCAGCACTGGACTACTTGACGGATCCATCTTCTTCGATTTCGTCTTTTCGAATATTAGACAATGGCCAATGTCCACACATTCTGTAATCCTACACTGCCGTGAGAAAAAAATGTACAGTGAAGAAAACCGAATATTTATTTTCTAAAAAAAAATTATGCATACTTATTTACAGTGAATACAAAATTTCCAATATCCTACATCGGAAATTATGTGTGATATATACATCAAAAGTTCGCATTGATTCCATCTTGGGGGCAGGGTCACGCAAAATACGTAATGATCCGGAGAAGTTCAGTGATATGTCATTAATCATGAGTTTCCGCGAAAATCAATCAAAAACGACCACATATGTTCATAAATAAAAAATAAAACGGACAAACACCAGAAACCTTTTCATGAATTTCCCAAAAGGAGCTACCTGAAAAGCCGGACAGCACAGATCTAAAAGCGTCTGACGTACCTCATGCTACTGCCACAGACACTGGCTGAATACGAGAGCACCTGCAACCAAATGAACAAGAAATGGATTAGTCTCTGTATCCAAGCACCTCGCCGTTTGAGAAACATACAAATAATAATATGCACGAAAAAATTAACAGAAGATTTAAAAGTGGGGAATATTTGCTGGGGATCCTTTTTTATTTCCGACAAGATTAAAATAGGCCTCACGCACTCATGGAACTGAGCCCTTCTTGAGAAGCTGCCAATTTTGCTGATACTCAAGAACCGCCCAGCATTTTATGGAACCCGAAGGTTCATTACCCTGTTCACAAGAGCCCTCCACTTGTCCCTATGCTGAGCCAGATCAATCAAATCCATACCATCCCATTCTCTCTCTCTCTAAGATCCATTTTAATATAAAATCACATAGCCTTTTCTTTCGCTTAGGTCATTTATCCAAGGAATCCGTCCAGGTCCGAGGGTTCTTGGACATTTTCGTAACAAGTTTATTTTTGCGGTGAGGTGTTGTTAGCCCCACGACCAACCACCAAGCTGGAGGACCACCCCTTGTCGACTGTCCGCGACTGCTTATTCAATATATTCGCAGCTACCCTCCATACCTGGAAGACGTCTCCTCCATCCGAAACCTGAGGACGCGCCATGTCGGTTTGACAAAGGGGCCTACATTAAATTATAGTTCTGCTTGTAGTTCTGTACGGTGAAACGTGATCTTTGACATTAGAAGCAAAGAATATACTGAGGGTGTTCGCGAATGGGTTACTGAGGAGAACATTTGGGCCTAAGAGGGATGAAGCGACAGGACAGTGAAGACGCTGCATAATTGGAAGCTTCCAAAATTGTAGTCGCCAAATGTTAGTAGGATTATCGAATTAATGAGGATGAGATAGTCTAGGCATGTAGCAGGCATAGAAAAACAGAAGTATGAAGTTCTTGTACGAAAAAATGAAGGTAATAAACCACTTTGGATACTTCAATATTGACGGAGAACTATGAATAACCTTGGTCTGCATAGCTGATCGCCCGGCTGAGATTTGAACCCGAGACCTCCATAATACGGAAAAGAATTCTAACCACACAATCTTGAAGTTCGGTCCAAAGTCATTACTTTATGTTTAGCTGCTCCAAAACGCCACCGTACTACAAACTTCGAGACAGTTTGCTCACGTATTGTTCATATGTGTAAAAGTTCTGTGACAACTGCATGGAGCAGAGCCATTCCTGAGCAGCTTACAATCGCTCAGCTTGTCAATAAGTCATGTACATTGTTATCGAACCCGAAGGTTCATTTTCGTCTTCGCAAAGTCCACATCTGACTCTATCCTGATCAAACTGAATCAGATCCACATCTTCAAAACCTAAGTAAGGTTTGCTATAAGATCCTCCGGTCTAAGCCTAGTCCTTCCAGGCGGTTTCTTATTTTAATTGTTTTATGTTAAAATGTTATTGCAGTTCTGATCTCTTCAATGCGTGCTACAAGATCGCCCATCTCAACCTCCTTGAATCGAACATGGCAACCGTATGTGTTGAAAGGTAACAATTAGCGAGCTTTTCGGTGTGGAGGTTTATCCATATCTCTTAAAGCGAAGCAACTGATACAGAATTAGGCTTTCATAAAGAAAATTGAACTTTTGTTTGAGGGGGGTGACTTAAGACGGACGGACAGATAAAACTCCGTGGCTTGTGAGTCCGCAAGCGAACTATACCGACCGAGCGACCGCCTCTTGTCGTCGAAATTAGTGCCAGCTTTTGCGGACAGTGGGTGTCAGGTGGTCAGCGCAACGGATCCCAACGACCGTTAATCTCAGTTTTCTATACCAGAGCCGCTACTTTTCCATTCAAGTAGCTCCTCAATATTCTCACGAGGCTGAGTGGATCCCGTTCCAGACCCACTAATCCCCATAAAATCTTGTAGAGCTGGGAATCGAACCCGGAACCTCTGGATCTGTAGCCAGGAACTCTGACCACTATACCACAGAGACTTCTGACAGACGAACAGATAACGATATTAAACAGCTTGATGTGGTGATGTGTCTCATGAGGATGACTATGAAAACTGTTGAATTCTGGGTTGTGACGCCGTTTAGTGTGGTATATTTTTACCGACATTTCTGAGGAATATTCTCCCTTTTTCTTCAGGACTGAAACGTCGGTAAACATGTACCAGACTGAACGGCGTCATATCTCAGAAAACGCTAGTCTTAACCTTATGTCATTTAATTTCGATGTCACTGCGATTAGACAAACTGGGCAGTGCCGTGGGAAAGGTCCTGATGCTGCACGAGGTTGGGGCGGGCACTCAGTGAAAGGATGTCAACATCAACATAAAGACAATGCAGCAACTTACCACGCTTGTCCGTCCTGAGCGGTACAATAAATGAAACCCGAAACAGCTACGTATTTCAAAACGCTTCCAAATGAACCCAAAGTTCGCATTATCTGTACCACTTATTTAAGCACGACATAAACATTTCGATGGAGAAAGGGGTGGAGGATTCAACAGCAATATTCGAACACCTTAAAATAAAAAGAAAAATGCAGAAGTACTTTTAAGGTTACCAACTATACATGAAACCGACAAACTCACTCACCCACAGAGCTGAGCCCTTCTTCAGGAGCTGCCAATTCTGCAGCTGCTCAAGAATTTCCCAGCATTTTACGGAACCGAAGTTTCATCACCGTGTTCACAAGAGCCCTCCACTGGTCCCTATCCTGATCCAGATCAATCCAATCCATACCATCCCATTCTATCTCTCTAAGCTCCATTTTAATATTGTCCACACACCTACGCCTTGGTCTTCCCAGTGGTCTCTTTCCTTCTGGCTTTTCCACCAATATCCTACATGGATTCCTCTTCTCATTCGCGCTACATGCTACATATACTAAAATTTTATTTATTAATAATGACACTGAGAGCTGAATTTATAAGCAGATATCTGAAAATATCATATCAGCATGAGAAAGCATCGCACTTTTTGGAACACCTTGCGCCATTTTTCCTAGCCATGTGACTCCAGGTAAAATTGCAGGCCAAATAAAAAATATGAAAAATAAGGACTAGACCTGTTTGCTATTCGCTACGCATCCTTTTGTTTCCAGCTGTTTCTCTCTTCTTATTGCTGTTGAATTATGTGTCTATAGGGCAAGTACAGTGATCCTTATGAGAGATATCTTGAATCGCTACACAGTACATAATAATAGTCTTAGAAGTCAATAAACTGTATTTGTATTTCTAGCAAGGTTCCTTTCATTTCGGATACGAATACGTTTATCTAGATAATCGGTTGTTTCACGTGAATATTATTCCAAGTTTCAGTCCTCTAAGAAACGTCAAGAGAAAATTCAGAAGAAAGTTGCTCGGAGTTCGAGTGCCCTGAGAAACACCATTCAGAGCTTCGTCAGAAAAGTAGGAATAGTAAACCCTTCTCGGCCAATCAGCTGCAACGTGACTGAGCTAGAAACTAACGTTTCGCTGGCTTGCTTTGTCTCCATCATTAGGGTCGATGTGATGGACGCTTCCACAACTAGCAGTAACGTTACTACATGTGTGCAGGTCAGGTAGTTGAGAGGTTAGAGGCCACTGCTTGCTCCAAATCCCAAACATCATGATTAACTGGCACTGCGCTTTGCGTGAGCACTACGTTTCTTGTTTGTATTACAGTCCTAAATCGTTGACCTAAATACCTTTTTAAACGCTATTAAAGAGGTTTGCCGAGGCCGCGCCATAGCTCAAGCCGTTAGTTACTGGCTTCCCACTGCGGCGGCCCGGGTTCGGTCAAGTGGGATTTGTGGTGGACAAAGTGGCGCTTGGGCAGGATTTCTCCGAGTACTTCGGTTTCCCCTGCCAATCTTCATTCCACCAACTGCTCCACAATCACCCTCACTTATCATGTGGGGCTGGTACAATAGGCCAGAAGTGGCCGCAATACAAGGGACTTAGTCCCACCCCTCATCATCAGTAATCTGTCAGACGACAGATCCACAGGTCCACAGTATCTTCCAAAACAATTCCTCCACTTAATGCGATCTCCCCACTAGCAATAAAAAAAAGCGGTTTGCCGAGAAAGAACAATGTTCGTGCCTCATCACAAGAATGATAAGATCACATTATAACTGTAGCTGATAAATAATTTTGATTCGAGTGTGGCAAAAATAGAAACTGTATGAGAACTCTAATAAAACTGTCTCTGTAACAAGCCGTGGAGGCCCATACGGTTGTGAGGCGTCGAGGCTCCCACATTTTCTACACAATCGATTCACAGATGGTGGTAAGGTTGTCAGCCTTACTCACCGGCCGTCCTTTACCCCCCAGGAAGATTCCTGGTACCCATTTCTATTAGAGGCTGAGTAGACCCGAAAGCCATATTGCGGCTGGATGGATTAGGTAAACTGAAAAAAAAAAATCCATCTCACCGGGACTCGAACCCGCAACCTTCCGGCTTGTAGCATAGCGACTCAACCAACTACTCTACCACGCGTCCCTATGAGAACTCCAATAATAAAATAAAATTTCTTTCATGAATAAGTTAAGTTTGGGGAAAGTCTGGTACAATTCAGTTCAGTTGTCTTCCCACCTTCTGCCCCATCCGCAAACAAAATGTGAAATTCACATACACACGACACAACTTTTGTATTGTGTCTCACATTTTAAAATGGATCTTAGAGAGATAGGATGGGATGGATTGGATTGATCTGGCTCAGGATAGGGACCAGTGAAGGGCTCTTGTGAACACGGTATTGAACCTTCTGGTTCCATAAAATGCTGGGAAATTCTTGAGCAGCTGTACAATTGACGGCTCCTCCAGAAGGGCTCAGTTCCATGAGTGAGTGAGTAAGTCTCACATTGGCGGAAGAACGTGGATTGAGTGTGTCTCAAAACAAGTACTAAGGAGAATATTTATTCTTCAGAGAGAGGAAGTGAAGGAAGGCTGGAGCTAAACTGAACAAGGAGATTCGTAATATGTACCCTTCATCAAATATTTTAAGGTGATCACATGAAGAAAAGATGGGCATGGAATGTAGTAAAAATGGCGAAATGAGAA